GGGACCTGGCCCCGCTGGACTGTCCAAAACCAGCCTGGAAACGAGAGGAGTTTCCCATGGAATCGGGGCTGGTTTGGGCCGGCAGGGCCCTCAAAGGCTCCACGGGCAGGGCAGGTCACGTCGGGCCTGCTCGGAAATGAAAGCCAGACCTGCTTTGATTAAAGCCAGACCTGCTTTAATTAAAGCCAGACCTGCTGAGCCTCCTCCTGCCCCCGACCCGCTCCTGCTCCGGGGCTCCACTTCCCTGCCCCGGGGATTCCATGGCTGGGAACAACCCCAAAGCGTCCCAAAGTGTCCCAAAGTGTCCCAAAGTGTCCCATGTCCCCAAATGTCCCAAAGTGTTCAGTATTCCAAAGTGTCCCAAAGTGTCCCAAAGTGTTCCAAAGTGTCCCAAAGTGCCTGGACACACCCAACGGCTCCAATCCCACTGTCCCAGGGCACACCAGGAGCTGGTTCATTTTGGGGGGATTTCCTGCAAAAAAAGGAGGGATAAAGGCTTTGGGTCCCCTGGGATCCCCCACAGAGCCCTTGGAGTCGTAGAATCACGGAATCATGGACACATGGAATCAGAGAATCATGGAATCATGGAATCATAGAGTCATAGAATCATGGGATCATGGAATCGTGGAATCATGGAATCGTGGAATCATGGAATCACAGAATCATGGAATCAGAGTCATAGAATCATGGAATCATGAAATCACAGAATCATGGAATCATAGGTTCACAGAATCATGGAATCACAGAATAACGGAATCATGGAATCACAGAATCATGGAATCATGGAATCATGGAATCAGCCAGGTTGGAAAAGCCCTCCGAGCTCATCCAGCCCAACCCTCGCTCCGACCCCGCTGTGGTTCCCAGCCCATGGCACTGATGCCACATCCAGTCTGTCCTTAAACACCTCCAGGGACGGAGAATCCACCCCCTCCCTGGGCAGCCCATTCCAAGGGCTGATCACTCTCCCTGGAAAGAATTCCTTCCCAATATCCAACCTGATGCCTTAAGCCCCTAATGTTTTTTTTTTATTTTTCTAACATTTGTAAGACTTGTAAGTTTTATAAGTAGTGGAAGTAGATTTTAAAAGTAGCAACCTTCCCCCCCTTTTGTCCCTTGTCCCTTTCCCTTTCTCTAGCACCCTTGTTTACACATTCCTTAACCCTCTTACCCCATTCTATGCTCCCTATATCACTCATAGCCCCAAACCCAAGGCCTAGATTGTTGGCAGAACAGCATTTCGGGGCCTGAACCACAGAACACGCTCAAAAACTGGGTGACTATGTACCCTTTGTGCTCTTATGATGGTGAAGATGGGATGAACGGGGGGTCCCGAAACACACCCCAGACCCATTTTAAGGGGGTGGACCCGGGGTGGACCCGAGGAAAGGCCACAGGGTGGACACATCTGGGATTGGATGGATGGTGTTATAAAATGTAACCTCTCAGGCACGGCCTGTGCACGTCGTGTACCATCTACTGCCTTGGCAAATAAACCCTTTCTTATCTCACCCCTAATTAACAGCTCTGGAGATTTTTTCAGCACCAAAATACCACGGCAACAAACCCAAACCTGGTGAGGCCACCCCTGGAGTGCTGTGTCCAGTTCTGGGCCCCTCAGCTCAGGAAGGACCCTCCCCACCCAGAAAATAACCTGTTAAGGTAAAAAACCGGCGTTTAATGAACATTTCACAGTCTGTGTAACCAAAACAACTACAAAAGGCGCCGGGTTTCAAACCCGTGGGTGCTTCCAGCCCCGGGAAAGGGGGAGGCACCGGCTCCTGCCTCCCCCCGGGGGGGCTCAGAGCCCACCCCCCCGAGCCTGCGGGGCTGCCTTGGGCCATTTTTGGGGCTGGGTTTGCTCGTTCCGAGGAGGAGGAGGGGAGGAAGGGACACAGCCCAGCCCGCCCTGCCGGGGTTCGCTGCCCCAGCCCGGGGGGACACGAGCCGCCCGTGCCCTCGTGGGTGTCCGTCTGTCAGCACCGACGGACCGTGCCCGTGTCCGTCTGTCAGCACCGACCTGCCCGATGCCTCCCCGAGCTCTTGCCCAACCCCGATTCCTCCCGACACATCAAAGGCGCTTTCCAAGCCTTTCCTCCGAGCTCCTGGGAGGGCCCGGAGCCGGGGGGGGAGCGCCGGGAGCCTTCCCGGAGCCAGGCAGGTCCATTCCCAGCCCCCCGGAATTCCTGGGGGTCCATTCTCAACCCCCCGGAATTCCTGCGTGTCCTCCCAGTGTCTGATCCCTCCTCCTGGGGGTCCCTTCCCAGTCCCCAGGAATTCCTGAGTGTCCTCCCAGCCCCCGATCCTTCCTCCTCGGGGTCCATTCTCAGCTCCCCAGAATTCCTGCGTGTCCTCCCAGTGTCTGATCCTTCCTCCCGGCTGTCCCTTCCCAGCCCCCAGGAATTCCTGGGTGTCCATTCCCATCCCCCAGGAATTCCTGAGTGTCCTTCCAGCTCCTGATCCTTCCTCCCGGGTGTCCATTCCCACCTCCCAGGAATTCTTGGGTGCCCTCGCAGCCCCCGATCCCTCCTCCTGGGGGTCCCTTCCCAGCCCCCAGGAATTCCTGGGTGTCCATTCCCATCCCCAGGGAATTCCTGGGTGCCCCCCCAGCTGGCACCGCAGGAGCCGGGAACGTCCCCGGGGAGGGAGGAATCCCGAAGAGCCCCCCGGGAGAAGCCGCTTCGCGCGGCGCGTTCCCGGAGAAACGTCTGGCTGCTTCCCTCCGGGAGCTTTCCCCTGTCATTCCCAGCCGGATTTGATGATATCTCCCGGTCAGCCGCAGGATTTTCCCTGTCATTATCCCCGCTCGGGAGCCTGGGAGGGGTTGGTTTTATTTTTTTGGGATGGCGGAGGAGTGGCAGCGAAGCGCGGCCGCCCCCGAGGGAGAGACGGGACGTGCGGGAAAGGTTTGGATCATGGGAACAGGGAGCGTTCCTTCCAGCTGGAGCCGCAGCCAGGGCCCAGGGAAGCGGCGGGTGATGACTCCCGCCTGGAATGCCGCCCAGGGTGTCTTGAAATACCGGCTTGCAAAACTTTCACCAAAACACGCCAACGGCCCGGGTGTTTCTAGGATAACAGATCTGGGCTTTGGCTCCGCAATCGGCCCCGGGATCTGCGGATCCAGGGGAAAACCACCGCCAGGAATTCGGGCTGTAATGGATCCTCACTCCCTCGGGGCCCTCCGGCTCTGTTTGGCTCAGGATTTTGGGGAAAAGGGGGAGAAAAAGCTCGTTTATCCCCGGCTCTGGGCAAGAATCCCCTGGTGTTGCTCTGCAGAGAAATCCCCCCTCGATTTTGAGCAGCCCCAGCAGGAGGCAGCGGGGAATCCGACTCTTTGAGCTCGGGGAGGGGTTGAGGTGCTTTTCCCCACGTCCTGCCCGCGGAGCTTTGATCCCCGGGGGCTGGAGCTCCCCGGGGGCTGGAGCTCCCCGGGGGCTGGAGCTCCCCGGGGGTTGGAGCTCCCCGAGGGCTGGAGCTCCCCGAGGGTTGGAGCTCCCCGAGGGTTGGAGCTCCCCGAGGGTTGGAGCTCCCCGGGGGCTGGAGCTCCCTGAGGGCTGGAGCCGCAGGCGCGGGGCAGCCCCGGATAAGCCCAGCCCGGGAGAAAGCCAAGGCGGGCTCAGCTGAGCCCGGAGAGCAGAGCTGGCACCCGAACCCGCTCTAAAAAAACCCGATCGTGGCGCAGGAGAACCAAGAATTCTTTGTTGAGCGTCACCCGAGAGGTTTCCCGCCCCGAGCCCTCCAACCCTCCTGCCCCCCCCGCGCTCCCGGCCAAGGATCTGCCACGGGAGAGATCCGGGATGGAGGGAACGTGACGGGAGGCTGTAAACACGGCCCGAGTCCACGCACAGCGCGGGCTTTGTGCGGCATTCCCGGGAGGGGAATCATCGGCCCGGAGGAGCCGCAGCTCCAGAGGCAGCAGGGAAAGGGATGACGGGGAGGAGACGCCGGTCCTGGGGTCAGGGAGCGAGAATTCCCTGCTCCAGCTGCATTCCCAGGGCTCTGGAAGGCTCTGGAAGGCTCTGGAAGTTGGCACTCCCAGGCACGGGTAGCTGCAGTAAGGAGGGAAGGCGGGAGGGAGGTTCTGCCCCTCCGGCCCTCTCCATCCCATCCCTCCATCCCAGCATCCCGAGGATGCTCCAGCTCTCCCAGAGCTCCCCGGACACACAAATCCCACCCCAGCCCCTGCCCTGCTCCCAGGACATTTCCTGGAGCTCTGCACGGCCTGGGAGCAGCTCCAGGGCTTGGATTTGCCTTCACGTTTCAAGGTCCTGGGTAAAGTTGAACTTCCTGGCGCTGGGAAAGCTCCTTCAGTCCCAGGAAAGCTCCTCCAGCCCCAAGAAAGCTCCTTCAGCCCCAGTAAAGCCCCTTCAGCCCTAGAAAAGGTCCTTCAGCCCTAGAAAAACTCCTCCAGCCCTGGGAAAGCTCCTCCAGCCCTGGGAAAGCTCTTCCAGCCCTAGGAAAGTTCCTCCAGCCCCAGGAAAGCTCCTCCAGCCCTGGGAACTCTCCTGCAGGCTCAGGAAAGCTCCTGCAACCCAACAAAAAGTGTTTTCCACCAGGAATCCTGCCCTCTCCGACCTGCAAGCACACAGAGGGAGGGAGGGAATCCGAGCTACACCTCTGCTAATGAACCACCCAAAACCTGTCGAGAGGCAGTAAAAGGGAACAGCAGAGGAGGCAGCTCGGCCTCGTTATGCAACAGCCTCGTTATCTAACGACCACGGACACCCTATAGGGGCTCTTTGTTTGCAGAGGGCAAGGGAGAGAAATGCCACCAGCAGCTGAGTCACCGGTTCACCGAGAGGCTCCGAGGACGTTCTCAGGTGGAAACTTTTCCAGTTTCACCTGCTAATTTGGGAGGACCGGCCGATTGCCCGGCTCCGCCCCCCGCCCTGTAACCCGGCTCCTGCCGCCCTTGCATATATAGAAAGGTATGGCCCCGCTCCCGGCGCTGGAGACGGAGCCCGGAGCCGCAGCAACCCCGAGCCCGCTGCGCTCCCACCATGAGGAAGGAGGTCCTCACCCTGGCCTTCGCCCGCGCCGTCTTCGTGGAGTTCCTCTCCACGCTCATCTTCGTCTTCATCGGGCTGGGCTCGGCGCTCAAGTGGCCCTCGGCGCTGCCCTCCATCCTGCAGATCGCGCTGGCCTTCGGCCTCGCCATCGGCTCCCTGGTGCAGGCCTTCGGCCACATCAGCGGCGCCCACATCAACCCGGCCGTCACCATCGCCTTCCTCGTGGGCAACCAGATCTCCTTCCCGCGCGCCCTCCTCTACGTGCTGGCCCAGCTGGTCGGGGCCATCGCCGGCGCCGGGATCCTCTACGGCGTCACCCCGGCCAACACCCGCGGCAACCTGGCCGTCAACGCCGTGAGTGCCCGCCCGTGCTCCTCATCCTCCTCCTCCGCCCTCCCTCCTCCTCCTCCTCCTCCTCCCGAGCCCTCGGTGGCCCCGGGAGCGGCTCCGGGGGGTTGGTTTTCCCTTGGTGGGTCGAGGGTCCCGGGTGAGTTGAGGGCACCGGGAGCTCCTCTGGATCTGGGAAAGCTCCTCTGGCTTTGGGAGCTCCTCCAGCCCCAGGAAAGCTCCTCCAGCTTTGGGAGCTCCTCTGGATCTGGGAAAGCTCCTCTGGCTTTGGGAGCTCCTCCTGTCCTGGGAAAGCTCCTCTGGATCTGGGAAAGCTCCTCTGGCTTTGGGAGCTCCTCCAGCCCTAGGAAAGCTCCTCCAGCTTTGGAAGCTCCTCTGGCTTTGGGAAAGCTCCTCTGGCTTTGGGAGCTCCTCCTGTCCTGGGAAAGCTCCTCCATCCCTGGGAAAGCTCTTCCAGCCATAGGAAAACTCTTCCAGATGTGGGAGCTCCTCCAGCCCCGGGAAAGCTTCTCCAGCTCTGAGAAAGCTCCTCCATCCCCAGGAAAGCTCCTCCATTCCAGGAAAGCTCCTCCAACCCCAGGAGAGGAGCCCAATCCATGGGGAGCCAGGCTGGGGAAGCAGGGCAGTGCCATCCCAGCAGGGCAGTGCCATCCCAGCTGTGGGGAGCAGGGCAGTGCCGTGACAGTTCTATGGTCGGGTTTGGGGAGCAGGGCAGTGCCATTCCAGCAGAGCAGTGCCATCCCAACTTTGGGGAACAGTGCTGGGGAAGCAGGGCAGTGCCATTCCAGCAGGGCATTGCAATCACAGCTTCAGGGAGCAGGGCAGTGCCATCCCAGCAGGGCAGTGCCATCCCAGCTTTATGGAGCAAGATGGGGAAGCAGGGCAGTGCCATCCCAGCTGTGGGGAGCAGAGTAGTGCCATGACAGCTTTGTGGCCAGGTTTGGGGAGCAGGGCAGTGCCATCCCAGCCGTGGGGAGCAGGGCAGTGCCATCCCAGCCATGGGGAGCAGGGCAGTGCCATCCCAGCAGGGCAGTGCCATCCCAGCTGTGGGGAGCAGAGTAGTGCCATGACAGCTCTGTGGCCAGGTTTGGGGAGCAGGGCAGTGCCATCCCAGCTGTGGGGAGCAGGGCAGTGCCATCCCAGCCATGGGGAGCAGGGCAGTGCCAGGACAGCAGGGCAGTGCCATCCCAGCTGTGGGGAGCAGAGTAGTGCCATGACAGCTCTGTGGCCAGGTTTGGGGAGCAGGGCAGTGCCATCCCAGCCGTGGGGAGCAGGGCAGTGCCATCCCAGCCATGGGGAGCAGGGCAGTGCCAGGACAGCAGAGCAGTGCCATCCCAGCTGTGGGGAGCAGGGCAGTGCCGTGACAGCTCTGTGGCCAGCCGTGGGGAGCAGGGCAGTGCCATCCCAGCCGTGGGGAGCAGGGCAGTGCCATCCCAGCCGTGGGGAGCAGGGCAGTGCCGTGACAGCTTTATGGAGCGGGTGATGAGTGGATGTTTCTGCGCCTCCTTTAACAAGCGCTTCCTCGGCCCCGAGGGCCCGCGTGAGTCACCGCCCGCATTGAGACGTTCGGGAGCGCAGCCTCCCCTTCCCGGGGATTAGCGCCGGGATCGGAGCCGTGCCAGGGCGGGGGGGGAGGGAGGGAGCAGAGCCCAGTCCGACCAGTATGGGCAGGGGGAGCCCAGTCCCACCGGGGGAGCTGGGAGCGGAGAGGAGGGAGGGAATTGGGGGAGAAGGATGAGCGGGAGGGTGTCGAGAGGGGAGGAGGGGAGGCAGCAGGACCCCCTGGCAGGAGCAGGGCTGAGGAACAGCTCTCCAGCCGCCCCGGGCAGCGCTGGGAAAACACCCGGAACGGGAGCGGGGGAGCTGCCGCTCCAACCCCGGCCGGGTCCGGAGCCCTGGGAGCGGCACGGGCACGGGGCCGAGGGAGGAGGCACCTCCTGGCATCGTGTGCCACGTGTGCCACCCCCGGCACCGTGTGCCACCCCCTGGCACCGTGTGCCACGTGTGCCACGTGCTCCGTGTCCCGGACCGGTCAGATGGGGCTGAAAACCCAGCAGGGATGGGTTGGGTCCCTTTGTCCTTCCCGTGGCAGTCCCAGGGGTTTGTGCAGAGGCACCGGGGCAAAAACAGCCCCTGAGACCCCCGTGACCTTCATCCCAGCCCTCTCCCTCCATCCCAGCCCTTGTTCTCCATCCCAACCCTCTCCCTCCATCCCAACCCTCTCCCTTCATCCCAGCCCTCATCCCAACCCTCTCCCTCCATCCCAACCCTCTCCCTCCATCCCAACCCTCATCCTCCATCCCAACCCTTGTTCTCCATCCCAATCCTTGTTCTCCATCCCAACCCTCTCCCTCCATCCCAGCCCTCTCCCTTCATCCCAACCCTCTCCCTTCCATCCCAGCCCTCTCCCTCCATCCCAACCCTCTCCCTTCATCCCAACCCTCTCCCTTCATCCCAGCCCTCATCCCGACCCTCTCCCTCCATCCCAACCCTCTCCCTCCATCCCAACCCTCTCCCTCCATCCCAGCCCTCTCCCCCCAACCCTCGCCTCCATCCCAACCCGCTCCCTTCATCCCAACCCTCATCCCAACCCTCGTCCCTCATCCCAACCCTCTCCCTCCATCCCAACGCTCTTCCTCCACCCATCTCCCCAAGCCCTCTCCCTCCATCCAACAGCGCTCCCTCCATCCCAGACCCAGCCCTCTCCCTCCATCCCAACCCTCTCCCTTCATCCCAGCCTCTCTCCCTCCATCCCAACCCTCATCCGGAACCCTCTCCCTCCATCCCAACCTCTCTTCCTCCATCCCAACCCTCTCCCTCCATCTCCCTCCATCCCAACTCTCTCCCTTCATCCCAGCCCTCTCCCTCCATCCCAACCCTCTCCCTCCATCCCAACCCTCATCCCAACCCTCTCCCTCCATCCCGACCCTCTCCCCTCATCCCAACCCTCTCCCTCCATCCCAAACCTCTCCCCTCATCCCGACCCTCTCCCTCCATCCCTCCCACAGCGGCTGCTCCTCATCCTCCGGGGAAGGAGCTCCACAAACGGGGGGAGAAGTCAGGGCGCGACAACTCGCGAGGATCAAAGGGGGAGGAAATGCAGGAAAAAGGGAATTGGTGGGAACGGGGAGACAAGGAAAGGGAGGGAGATGTGGAGAGCCCAGGGCTCGGGGGAGAGCCGGATTTTGGGGCCTTACAGAGGGAGAAGGATCATTCCCTTCCTTCCAGATGAGCCGTGACCCCGAGCGGGGCCGGGGGTGGGCACGGGGGACCCTGGGGGGGCTTCTCATCCAACATCCCCCTCCACCGAGTGCCCGGGAGACCCGGGGAGGGGAGTTATCGCCTCGTTATCTCCTTCTCTCATTATCCCGCGGTCTCCTCGGCAGCTCAACAACAACACGACGCCGGGGCAGGCGCTGGTGGTGGAGATGATCCTGACCTTCCAGCTCGCCGCCTGCATCTTCGCCTCCACCGACAACCGGCGCGGCGGCGGCGGCTCCCCCGCGCTCTCCATCGGCCTCTCCGTCACCGTGGGGCACCTCGTGGGGGTCCGTGTGCGGGCAGCGGGGGCCTGACGGCACGGGGGGGCCCAAAATACCCCCCTTCCACCCTGGGGGGGAAACGGGAATCCTGGGGGGGATAAAGGGGCTCCAGTGATGGAGTGGGGGGAGCAGAGGGGGTTTGGGGGGAAAAACAGGAATCCTGGGCAGGATAAAGGTGCTCCAGTACGTGATAAAGGGGCTCAAGAGTTAGAGAGGGGGGAGCAGGAGGTGGTTTGGGGGGGAAACAGGAGTCCTGGGCAGGATAAAGGGGCTCCAGTAGGTGATAAAGGGGCTCCAGTGATGGAGGGGGGAAGCAGGAGGGGGTTTGGGATGGGAAAACAGGAATCCTGAGGAGGAAAAAGGGACTCCAGAGATAAAGAGGGGGGAGCAAGGAGTGGTTTTGGGGGGAAAACAGGAATCCAGGGGAGGATAAAGGGGCTCCAGTGGATGATAAAGGGGTTCAAGAGTTAGAGGGGGGAGCAGAGGGTGGCTGGGGGGGGAAAACAGGAATCCTGGGGAGGATAAAGGGACTCCAGTGGATGATAAAGGGGTTCCAGTGATGGAGTGGGGGGAGCAGGAGGTGTTTCGGGATGGGGAAACAGGAATCCTGGGCAGGATAAAGGGGCTCCATGGAGTGGGGGACCAGAGAGGGTTTGGGATGGGAAAACAGGAATCCTGGGGAGGAAAAAGGGGCTCCAATGGGAGAGACAACCCGGGGCTGTTCCTGGCTGGGCTGGGGGGGTCAGAGGCAGCCCCGGGGGCCGTTCCAGCCCCTGATCCCGAAAGTTTGGCTGTGGTTGCACCTCAGTGGTGTTTTGGCCCCCCCAGATTTACTTCACCGGCTGCTCCATGAACCCCGCCCGCTCCTTCGGCCCCGCCGTGGTCACCAGGAGGTTCAGCCCCGCACACTGGGTGAGTTCGGGGGGCAGGGGGGGCACAGAGTGCGAAAAAGGGGTAACACGGGGCAAAAAAGGGATCAAACGGGGCGAAAAAGGGATCAAACGGTAAAAAAGGGATAAAACGGGACAAAAAAGGGGGATCAAATTGGGCAAAAAAGGGGAACAAACAGGTCAGAAAGGGGATCAAATGGGGCAAAAAAGGGAGCAAACAGTAAAAAAGGGATAAAACGGGACAAAAAAGGGCTCAAACAGGGCTGGAGAAGGAGGCAGGCGGTGCCTCGGAGGCGTCGGGAACAATTGTCCCCGTGGCCCGGAGGGGGACAGGGATTAACGGAGGGGGACAGGGATTAACATCCCATGGAATCCTGGAATGGGTTGGGATGGAGGAACCTTAAAATCTTCCAGGGTGTCCAACCCCCCCGGCTTGGGCAGCTTTCAAAAGGTGGAAAGCAGGAAAATCAGAAGCTGTAAAATCAGGGACGATTTTCGAGCCCAATAAAATGTTTCTGTTTGATGTCGGGGGGGTTTATCTTTGTTAAAAAAGAAATCTTTATAAAACGATTGTTTGTTTTCAAGTGAGAATGAATAGTTATTTTTTCATCTTAAAAGAAATATTTTAGCTTTATAATAATATAATAATATGTATAATATTGTGATTTATATATTTTATATATTATAATATATTATGTATTATATGTTATTATATATAATATCTTATTATATATAATATATCTTATTATAATTTTTAAATATTATATAACATATATATTTTATATATAAGATGTTATATATTATATGCATTTTTATATATAATACATAATATTATAATATATATTTTATATATTATAAAATATGATATATACTTTATATATTATGAGATATTATATATATTATAATACATAATGTATATAATAATATAATTTTACCTTTATAAAAAATATTTTTATCTTTATAAAGAATGACTCTTGAGATGCTGTGTCAGTTTGAACCGAGCAAAACAAAATTCCTTTGAGGATTCCCGAATTTTAAACGGATGCCTTTGCTTAAAACGCTGCATCCTCCTGAAATCAAACTGATTTTTACTGTTCAGATGTCGCTGAAATTTTTCTTCCTCCCCAAAACAAGTTTTGAGTGATTGTTCCCAGCTGGGAATTGGGAACTTCGGTGGTTCTCAGGAAGGTGTCCCACGGGCAGGGACACCTCCCACCATCCCAGGGGATCCAACCCGGCCTTGGACACTCCCAGGGATCCAGGGGCATCCTCTGGGAATTCCATCCCAGGGCCTCCCCACCCTCCCAGCCAGGAATTCCTTCCCAATATCCCCCCTAAATCCCCCCTTTCCCAGTGGAAGCCATTCCCTGTGTCTGTCCCTCCAGCCCTTGTCCCCAGTCCCTCTCCAGCTCTCCTGGAGCCCCTTCAGGCCCTGGAAGTGGCTCCAAGATCTCCATGGATCCTTCTTCTCTCCAGGCTCACACACACTCATCCCATCCCCTCCCATCCCCTCCCATCCCCTCCCATCCCATCCCCTCCCATCCCCTCCCATCCCCTCCCATCCCCTCCCCCTTCCCATGGGCAGGGACACCTCCCACCATCCCAGGCTGCTCCAGGCGCTGCCCAACCTGCCCTTGGACACTCCCAGGGGTGGGAATGGTCTCTGGTGCTCCCTGAGCACCCTCAGAGGGGTGGGAAGCCCCCAGAGAAGCCCAACCTGGGCTTTCCTCTCAGACCCAGCCTTGCAGAGCAGGGCTGGGCCTCCGCAAGCCCGGCCTGGGGGGATTCCAGCCCAGGAATCCCCGGGATGGGGGTTTCTCCCTCCCGGGATGGGAGTTTGTCCCTCCCCGCAGGGTGGGAGGGGAGGAGCAGGGAGGGGGATGGTGCAAAGGCTGGACCCGGGGCACCGACCTCCCAGACCTGCTCTGACCTCTCCCTGCTGCTCTCCCAGATCTGCTCCAACCTGTCCCTGTTGCTCTCCCAGTCCTGTCTCACCTTGGCCTCTTCTGCTCTCCCAGACCTGCTCTCACCTGTCCCTGTTGCTTTCCAAAATCTTCTCTCACCCCCTCCTGGTTCCTCTCCCAGACCTGCTCTCACCTGTTCTTGCTGCTCTTCAAAATCTTCTCTCAACGTGCCCTGGTTCCTCTTACATCTCTCCTGTTCCTCTCCCATCCCACCTCACCTGTCCCAGTCCCATCCCATCCATCCTGTTCCATTCCCATCCCATCTCACCTGTCCCGGTTCCATCTCTCCTGGTTCCTCTCCCATTCCTATCTCCCCTGTCCCAGTTCCATTCCCATCCCATCTCCCCTGTCCCAGTTCCATTCCCATCCCATCTCCCCTGTCCCAGTTCCATTCCCATCCCATCTCCCCTGTCCCAGTTCCATTCCCATCCCATCCCATCTTCCCCCATTCCATTCCCATTCCCATCTCCCCTGTCCCGGTTCCATTCCCATTCCCATTCCCATTCCCATCTCCCCTGTCCTGGATCCATTCCCATCTCCCTTGTCCTATTCCCATCCCCATCTCCCGCGGTTCCATGCCCATTCCCGTCTGACCCGTGCCGGTTCCTCTCCCATCTCTCCTGTTCCATTCCCATTCCTGTCTCCCCCATTCCCATTCCCATCCCATCTCCCCCGGTTCCATCCCCATTCCCATTCCCATCCCATCTCCCCCGGTTCCATGCCCATTCCCGACTCACCGGTGCCGGTTCCCCGCAGGTGTTCTGGGTGGGCCCGATCCTGGGGGCCTGCCTGGCATCGCTGCTGTACTTCTACGTGCTGGTGCCGTACTGCATGGCCCTGTCCGACCGCCTGGCCATCCTGCGGGGCACCTACGAGCCCGAGGACGACTGGGAGGAGCAACGCGAGGAGCGCAAGAAATCCATGGAGCTCACCCCGCCTTAGGGAATTCCGGGGGCCCGGGGGGGGCTCGGCAGTGCCGGCTGAGGGCTGGAAAACCCCTCTGAGCTCGTCCAGCCCCACCCGCCACATCCCCGGCTTTTATCCACCACTTCCCGGGAGCCACGGCCGCGGCAGAACCTTAAACCCGCGTCTCCTCAAGCCCAGGGCCGGGCCTAAGGCAGGCGGGGGTGTGTAAATACCCCCCTTCCCTCATGAGTGTGAGCGTAGACCCCCCTCCAGCCCCCCCAGCAGAGCCCAGCACCGGCCCCCGAGCCCGGGGCAGCCCCTAAGCCGAGCTCACCCCCCTCCTCAGCCGGGTTTAACCCCCCCAGCCGGGTTTAACCCCCCCTCGGCTCCATCCCGCCCTCCCCGGGGCTGAGGCCGCTCCTTTGGTCTCTGCTCGGGTCTCAGCGCCGGCCCCGGGGGTGGGAACACCTTTTTTTGGGGTCCCCCAAAGGGCGGGTGGGCTCAGCGACCCCCCCCCGGACCCCCCCGCTCGTAGCTGCTCTTTCCCCCTTTCCTGGTGCCGGGGTCTGTCCTATTTATTCGGGATTTTTGTTTGGATTCCGCACTGGGACCTTTGTAAATAAATAGAGTTCGTTATTTATTGCCAGTAAAGGAGGTTTTAAAAGAAAAAAAACAACCATTCATAGGGGTGTGAAAGCGCTTGGGGGGGGCGAATTTTGGGAGGGAAAGTGGGATAAGCTGAGTGCAAACTCTCATCCCAAAGGGCCGGGGCGAGGGCTCAGAGCCCAAATCCTGCGGCCCCTGGGGCTTGGGAGGGGAAAACGGGAATGCTGGGGAGGATAAAGGGGCTCCAGTGATGGAGTGGGGGAGCAGAGAGGGTTTGGGAGGGGAAAACGGGAATCCTGGGAAGGATGAAGGGGCTCCAATGAAGGATAAAGGGGCTCCAAGATAGAGAGGGAGGAGCAGGGAGTGGTTTGGGATGGGAAAACGGGAATCCTGGGAAGGATAAAGGGGCTCCAGTGGGTGATAAAGGGGGTCAAGAGTTAGAGGGGGGGAATAGGAGGTGGTTTGGGGGGGAAAACAGGAATCCTGGAGAGGATAAAAACTCCTACAGCCCCCAAAATTGCCTCTTCAATAAATTCCAACTCAACTTTTAAGAAGCCCCAACTCAACTTCAGCACCTCCCAACTCAACTTTAACAATTCCCAATTCCTACAGCCCCCCCCCCCCCCCAAAACGCCTCTTTAATAATTCCGGACTCCACTTTGATCATTCCCAACTCCTGCAGCCCCCAAGCGTCTCTTCAATAATTCCAACTCACCTTTAATCACCCCCAACTCATTAAAGTTGAGCTGGGACTCGTTAAAGTCAGGTCCCAACTCCTGCAGCCCCAAAAATGCCTCTTTAATAAACCTGAACTCAGCTTTGATAATTCCCAGCTCAACTTTGATAATTCCCAACTCCTGCAGCCCCAAAAAACTCCTTTTTTAATAAATCCCAACTCAACTTTTATAATTCCCAATTCCTCCAGCCCCCAAAACCCCTCCTTTTTTAGTAAATCCCAACTCAATTTTATTTATTCCCAACTCCTCTAGACTCCCCCAAAAACTCCTTTTTAGTAAATCCCAACTCAATTTTGATAATTCCCAACTCCTCCAGATGCCTAAAACCTCCTTTTTTAGTAAATCCCAATTCAATTTTATTAATTCCCAATTCCTGCAGCCCCAAAATGCCTCTTTAATAAATCTGAACTCAACTTTAATAAATCCCAACTCAACTTTGATAATTCTCAACTCCTCCAGCCCCCAAAAACCTCTTTTTTCAGTAAATCCCAACTCAATTTTATTAATTCCCAATTCCTGCAGCCCCAAAATGCCTCTTTACTGAATCTGAACTCCACTTTAATAGTTCCCAACTCAATTTTGATAATTCCCAACTCCTCCAGCCCCCCAAAAACTCCTTTTTTAAGAAATCCCAATTCAATTTTATTAATTCCCACCTCCATCCCTGGAAATCCCGGGAATTTGGGGGTCCCGGGCAGCTGCCCCAGGGTGGGAGCAGGAGGGGTCCCTGTGCCACCCCCTCCCCCCCCGGGACACGGGGATTCCCTGGAATGTGGGAATTCCGGGCGGGATCGGGGCCGTTCCCGCTGCCCGGGCTCCTCTTTCCCTCCCCCTTCCCAGGATCCAGCGGCCGCTTCCCGGTTTCTCCCCGGCCCCGGACAAAGGGGCTCTGTTGGGAAAGGTCGGAGCCGGAGCCGGGAGCGTTTCCCAGGGAGCGAGGAGGGGATTAAACCCGGTTTAGTTAAACCCGGTTTAGTTAAACCCGTCTTAGTTAAACCCGGTTTAGTTGAACCACAGCCCTGGGGCGGAGCCCTCCGAGCCAGCCCAGCTCCCACACCCGGGATTTGGGGCTGGTTTATCCCAAACAGGAGCTCTCCAAGCTGGCCCAGCTCCTGGATCAGGATTTGGGGCTGGTTTATCCCAACCAGAGCTCCCCAACTGTCCTGGATCAGGATTTGGGGCTGGTTTATCCCAACCAGAGCTCCCCAAGCTGGCCCAGCTCAGGATTTGGGGCTGGTTTATCCCAACCAGAGCTCCCCAAGCTGTCCTGGATCAGGATTTGGGGCTGGTTTATCCCAACCAGGAGCTCCCCAAGCAGCAGCAGCAGCAGGAGGAGGGAGGACGAGCCCTCGAGGACCTTTCCCAGCTGCTCCCGAGCTCTGGATCGGCTCCATCCCAGAGCAATCCCTGCAGAACCAGCCCCGAGCAGCGGCCAAAGCAAACAAACCCTGGCAGAGCCCTCCAGGATCCGGCTCCTCGTCCATCCTGTTCCAGGATTAAATCTGCTCCCCGAGGAGCAGCTGCCACGGGACACAAAACCCTCTTGTGCAGCCCGGGATAAAAAAAATAAAAAAGGAGGGAGGGATGAAAACAAACAAACTTCAAATGTCCTGCACAATCAGCCTTTTTTTAAAAAAAAATATGTTTTGATTATTTTTATTTTCTTATTTTTATTATTCTTTTATTATGGGTTTTGAAAATAATTTTTATTATTTTTTATGTTATTATTTTTATTATTATTTTATTTTATTATTATTCTTTTATTATGGTTTTTTATAATTTTTTATTTATTATTTTATTGTTTTTATTATTTTTACTATGTTTTTTTAAAATAGTTTTTATTATTTTTCATTTTATTAATTTTTATTATAATATTTTGTTTTCATTATTCTTTTATTACTCTTTTTAAAATAATTTTTATTATTTTTTTTTTGTTTTATGATTCTTTTATTGCGGTTTTTAAAATAAGTCTTGATTTTTTAAAATTTTTTTTAAAAAGCCACCAAGAAAAACAAGCAAAAAAAAAATTTAAAAAATCAATTCCTCTTCCCCGACGAGTCTTTCCACTTTCTCAGAGGGGATTTTTCCCTCGTTCCTTGTCCCGTGTTTATTCAGGGACATTGAGTTCCTGCCGAGCAATCAAAGGCAACGAGCCCTTTTCCCACTCTTTTTTCTTAAAAAATTCCTTATTTTTCCAGCTCCTTCTCCCTCGTTCCCTCCCCGGAGCCCCCACCTGAGCTCAGAGCCGGCGGGAATCGGGAAACCTTTTAGGGCTCCCGAGGTCACGGAGGGGGGGCGGAAAATCCCCGGCGGGGGTTGTTTCCTTCTCTCTCGAGCACAAAAATCTCCGCGTTCGGCCAAGGAGGGAACAGTTAATCGGGGATAAAGCGATTTATCCGCCCCGCTGGGTGAGCAAACACACGGACACGCGGACACGCGGACACACGGACACACGGACACACGGACACGCGGACACGCGGACACGCGGACACACGGACACACGGACACGCGGACACGCGGACACACGGACACACGGACACGCGGACACACGGACACACGGACACACGGACACGCGGACACGCGGACACACACCCAGCGCCCGCTGACATCAGCCGAGGCTTTGCCAAGGATTTGGGCCCGCTCTCCGGGGCTTTTCCTTGGATTCGTGCCCGCTCTCTGCTGCTTTTCCTTGGATTCGTGCCCGCTCTCAGTGTCTTTTCCTTGGATTCGTGCCCGCTCTCTGCTGCTTTTCCTTGGATTCGTGCCCGCTCTCTGCTGCTTTTCCTTGGATTCGTGCCCGCTCTCAGTGTCTTTTCCTTGGATTCGTGCCCGCTCTCCGCTGCTTTTCCTTGGATTCGCGCCAGGTTTTGGTTGGATTTTGAGCCGAAATACCCGCAGGTGAATCAAGCAGAGCTCAACTCTGCGAGGAAGGAGAGCCCGGGCCCGGGTTTACTCATCCCCCCCTGCGCCTCCCGGCCCTGGGATCCGCCGGGTTTTCCATGGAAACGCCTGGGAAGAGACACCCCCGCGTGCCGGACCTTCGGCGGGGTGACGGGGCGAGGGTCGATCCCGGCACGGGGAAGGGGGAACAGGGAACAGGGAAGAGCCGCCCCCGGCCGGGCGCGATCCTGGAGGAGCTCAAATCCCACGGGATCCAAACCCACCGGGAATTAACCCCCCCCCGTCCGAGTCGGGCTTTGCTGTTTAGTCCCGGTTCCAGGCTCAAAATTAAGCCCAAAGTGGTCAAATGTGGAACCCGGGACTGGTGGGGGGGATGTTTCTGCCCGGGCGCGGGAGCTGCGGGAAGCAGAGCCCGGGGCTGGGTTTTACTCATCCCTCCTGCCCCTTCCAGCCCCCAAATCCGCGCCGTTTTCTGTGGAAACGCCTGGGAAGAGACACCTCTGTGGCAGCGGCCACCCCGAACCTCCCGGACTTTCTTAATCCCAGTGTCGATCCCAGCGCAGGGAACAGGGAACAGGGAAGAGCCGCCCCCGGCCGGGCACGATCCTGGAGGAGCTCAAATCCCACGGGATCCAAACCCACCGGGAATTAACCCCCGCCTGCCCGACTCGGGCTTTGCTGTTTAGGACCCGTTCCAGGCTCAAAATTAAGCCCAAGTGGCCACAGGACCTGGGGGGGGGGGGGAGAATGTTTCTACCTGGGCACAGGAGCTGCAGGTCTAGAGGCAACTCCTACCAGGACCTGGGGGGGCTCAAATCCTCCTGTTCTGACCTGGGAGGGCTCAGATCCTTCTGCCAGGACCTGGGGGGACTCAAATCCTCCTTTCCCAAACTAGGGGGGCTCAAATCCTCCTGCCAGGACCTGGAGGGGCTCAGATCCTCCTGCCAGGACCTGGAGGGGCTCAGATCCTCCCACCCAAGGCTCGAGGCTGGTCTGGGTAAATTCTGCCCCAACTCCTCGCCCCGTGCTGGGCCCTGGGGAGGCCACACCCCGATTTCTGGGGTCAGGTTGGGGTCACTCAGGACAAGAAGGATGTGGAGGGGTTGGAG